AAAAAAAAAAAAAAAAAATTGCCCCTCTCCCACGCGCGCACACCTGTGTGCACAAGCCTTGACCCTGTGCCGGTATGTAAACAGCGGTTGCACCATACATGTGAGGTATTGCCGAGAACGTCAGATGAAGGGCAGTAATTCTAACACTAGACCTCCTCTGTAAATCTAAAATGGTGGCTTTTAAAGGCTTTTAAAGCGCTGCCTATGGATATTAAAAATGTTTGCAGTTTGTCGCCATTGAACGGGGCATGCGCAGTTTTAAAGAATGTCATGTTTGGTATCTATTTACTCAGCATACCATCAACTTTTATATTTTACCAAACAATTGGCCAATATATTGTGTTTTTGTGCATTAAAAGTAAAAAAAGTGTATTTTTTTTTTTTTAAAAAATTGCTTTTGGAAAATCGCTGCGCAAGTACTATGTGCCATAAAAAAATTGTAGTACCCACCATTTTATTCACTAGGGTGTCTGCTTTAAAAAAAATATATAATGTTTGGGGGGTTTAAATTAATTTCCTAGCAAAAAAAACTGTTTTTGTTCATGTGAACAAAAAGGCTTGGTCTTCAGGTGGTTAGAAGAGTGAATGATGTGTGGCATAAACTTCTAATGCTGGGCATAAAAACGCCCCCACCCCCCAAAATGACCCCTTTTTGGAAAGTAGTCACCCCAAACTATTTGCTGAGAGGAATGTTGAATCAATAGAAGAATTTATTTTTTTACCACAAGTTTTTGGAAAATGACAAAAATAAATATATATTTTTTTACACAAAATTGTCACTTACATGATTTATTGCTCACACATGCCATGGGTATATGTGGAATTACTCCACAAAATACATTTTGCTACTTCTCCCGGGTATGGGGGTTACCACATGCGAGAGACTTTTTGGCAGTCTAGCCAAGTACAGGACCCCAAAATCCAATAAGCACCTTCAGGCTTTTAAAGGGCTTTATTTCCTCATTACACTTCCAGACTACCTATCACAGTTTCGGAGGCCATGAAATGCCAGGATAGCACCTAACCCCCCCAAATGACCCCTTTTTGGAAAGTAGACGCCCCAAGGAATTTGATAAAAAGCACGGTAAGTATTTTGCAGATATCGTTTGTTGCCACAAGTTTTTTGGAAAATGAAGAAAAAAACAAAAACATATTTTTTTTCTATTTTTTTTCTATTTCAAAACTTTGTGGGAAAAAATGAGATCTGCAAAATACTCACCATGCCTCTTTTTAAATTCCTTGGGGTGTCTACTTTCTAGAAAAGGGGTCATTTGGGGGGGTTTGGTGCTAATCTGGCATGTCAGGGCCTTCGAAACTGTGATAGGTAGTGAGGAAGTGTAATGAGGAAGTTACGCACCTTCAGGCTTTCAAAGCGGTCATTGGATTTCAGGCTCCTGTATTTGGCTAGGCTCCCAAAAACTCTCACACATGTGGTATCCCCATACTCAGTAGAAGTAGCAGAACGTATTTTGGGGTGTAATTCCACATATACCCATGGCTTGTGTGAGAAATAAATCATTTAAATGACAACTTTGTGTAAAAAAAAAAAAAAAAAAAGGTTTTGTCATTTTCCAGAAACTTGTGGAAAAAAAATAAATCTTCCATGGACTCAATATGCCTCTCAGCAGATAGCTTAGGGTGTCTACTTTCCGAAAAGGGGTCATTTGAGGGTGTTTGTACTCCTCTGGTATTTTAGCACCTCAAGAAATGTGATGGGCGGTCAGAAAGTAAAAGCTGTGTAAATTCCATTATCTATACCATAGTTTGTAGACGCTATAACTTTCACACAAAGCAATCACTATACACTTATTGGGATTTTTTTTTAACCAAAAACATGTAGAATAATACATTTTGGCCTAATTTTATGACAAAATTTTAGTTTTTTTTAGATATTTTTTATGACCAAAATGAGAAAATATTGTTTTTTCCAAAAAAAAATTTTTTTCTTAAAATTTTTTCTGGTTATAGCGCCAAAAATAAAAAAGTGCACAGGTGATCAAATGCCACCAAAAGAATGCTCTATTTGTTTTAAAAAAGGACATAAATTTAATTTATGTACCATATTGCATGACCACGCAATTGTCCATTAAACTAGCGCAGCGCTGTATAGCAAACAAATGGCGTAAATTGCAGTATCTATACCATAGTTTGTAGACGCTATAACTATCACACAAAGCAATCAATATACAATTATTGGGATTTTTTTTACCAAAAACATGGAGCAGAATACATTTTGACCTAAATTTATAACCAACTTTGAGTTTACTATATATTTTTTATAACTGAAAGTAAAAAATATTGTTTTTCTTCAAAATATTTGGTCTTTTTTTGTTTATAGCGTGAAAAATAAAAAGCGCACAGGTGATCAAATACCACCAAAAGAAAGCTCTATTTGTGAGAAAAAAAGAACGTAAATTTTGTTTGGGTGCAGCATTGCATGACCGCGCAATTATCAGTTGAATTAGTGCTGCGCCGAGTAGCAAAAAGAGGCGTGGTCATTAAGGGGGGTAAATCCTCAGGAGCTCAAGTGGTTAAATTGCTGTGTAAGAATGTAGACGATTGGTTTGGGTTACTATTTCCAAACGGATTTTGAGCATAATATTTTTTGATGTGTAATTTTCTAATCAATTTTTGTAAACTGACATATGTTTCATACTTGTTGAGTCCCTTTGTTGGGGCAAATTTTAAACCTTGGTCCAGTACATATATTTCTTCCTATATTCCACTTAAATTGAAAATCCCTTCTCCTAATTTCTTCTCCTTTTTTTGTTTGTGTTTTCTTCCTCCCCTTTTTCCTCTCTTTCTGCATTCTCTCTGTTGTGATTTTCTATTCCTGGGATTCCCGGCCATGGTGGGTTAGGAACTGATTAAATATTAGTATATCACATAAGAATATCTATTATCAATCATATATTCATTTAACAGGATACAGGAATATAACTAGAATTTATATTGGGTGTTTCCTTGTATTTGTACAATTCGTTTTTTTATATAATATTATATTAATTTTATCTTTATTTTATATATATTTATTATTTGTAATATGACTACCCTACTCTGATATTAAATTGGCTCTGTGGTTTAGGGCAGTTTATAGTTATAATGAAACAGTAATACAATGTATATTTATGTTTTTAAATTTGTTTTATCTATTATACCAGACCTCCCTAGTAGTGTCCATCACACTCACGGACACATCAACCGCAGGACACTGGGGCATACAATGTATCCATTATGCAACATTGTTTAAACTGTATCATTATTATCTAAATGCACAACATGTCAGCGTCATCTCCCTAGGAATAGAGAGATCAAACCCCATAAAGATGGCAGAATATATTAAGTCTTCAAGAAAATGGCACCATATGGCTATTGAAGGAGTCCAGCTAAGGTGCTTGTCTCACTACATCCCCCAGATGAAGCTACGAGTCCCTGTAACGTAACGCGTAGGGGAGGAGCAGAGACGTCACCAGTGATCTGACTACCCACACGGCGAGTATTGTCAGTGTGTGCTGACACACTAAAGAGGCTGGTTATCACCGCTTGCAGCGGCTTTTTATACAAAGCGTGATTTATCCTTTTAAATGTGAGTGCATATTGGGCACTTAATAAAATCCACTGTTTATGATAGGACACTATGTCATTTTTCTTACATGGCTGAAATGAGGAATAATGGAGAGCAGGAATAAGGAGTGCTCCAAGGAGGGAGGGGTCTGTCTGCCTGTCACTGAAGTATCTTCTTCTACACAGACTACACCCATAAATCAGCAGGCTGCTTGGGAAGAGAGCACATCGCACTAACTATTTCATTGAACTCTGCACAAAGTTGGTTAAGACTTTCTTTTCATTTGAAACATTTTTTTTTCATTGAAACTTATATTCACAATATATTTTCATCATTATTATAATATATTTTTGTCTAATTTATCATTTATAATTAATGAGTGTATATTTTCAAGTAGCGCACACAATTTGAATTTTTTTAAAATTAATTAGGTGAATACATTTATTTCTTCTGTTTTCCCACAGATACTATCACAATAATTAATATATTAGTTTCTTTAGTATTATTATCTCATTTCATCATATTATAAACTGTTCCTGACTATACTGTAGAGAGGACATAGTCACCACCACAAGTGAGTAAGCAACCATTAGTCCTAAATAGAGCGCGGTACCTTTATAGTATATTCATTTTTGTCAATATTTGACTCACATTTATGAGGGTGAGAAAGGAAGCCAGCGCCCATATTAATATTTTTTATAATTTATTTTATACACTACAAATTTCTTTTGCATAAAAATCCAGAACACACACTCCAGTGGCTCACAAGTAATCTTTACATAATTCAATGATCATAGTAACACCATGTGACTGGGCTGAATGAATGCTGGTCATATTAATTCATCTATTCTCTAATTGGGGTGGTATCTATTGGGCCAACCCTTTTACAAACCACACATAATAGTTCTCCTTCCTTCCTGTGAGGGATAGGAGAAGGATGGACTGAAGACACAGAAATGCTTCGGGGTCACCACTGTATGTAGAGCCTTGAAATGAAGGACATCAACTTCAGAAGTTTCTTGTTTGTCTGTGTAAAGTTCCCCGAAAACGAGATCTGGGCTCTCCCGGCTTCTAGCTCTGTAACCCGCTATATCATTATCAGGAAACGCAACTCCGACACCCAAGAAGGGCTGAAATTGTGTCCTTCATTTCCAGGATCTACTGACCACTCTGCACCCCGACATTTACTGCACTTCATCCATGTCTTTTTGGGGCCTCTGATCTCCTTATCAACTGTTTCTTCCATGATGAAGGTCAGCCATGGAGTATATCTGAGGTGTATATCAGGGTGTGCTTCTTCCCCACATGAGAGCTGGGATGTCCAGCAACATTCATCTAGAAGACATTTCCTGCACTCAAGGCATTAATACACCTCCAGGGTTGTGTGGGACCCCTGATGTACAGGAAGACAGGACTTCAGTGAGGAACATTTCCCTCACTTAGGACAGGAAAATGGCTTCTCCCCCGTGTGACATCTCTGATGTCTGGAAAGATGGGACTTCCATGAAAAACATTTCCCACACTCAGGACAGGAATACGGCTTCTCCCCTGTATGAGATCTCTGATGTGCGTGAAGATAGGACTTTGCTGAAAAACATTTTCCACACTCAGGACAGGAATACGGCTTCTCCCCCGTGTGAGATCTCTGATGTGTGTGAAGATAAGGACTTGTCTGAAAAACATTTCTCACACTCAGGACAGGAATACGGCTTCTCCCCCGTGTGAGATCTCTGATGTTTGTAAAGACTGACTTGTGAAAAACATTTCCACACTCAGGACAGGAATACGGCTTCTCCCCCGTGTGAGATCTCTGATGTGTGTGAAGACTGGACTTTCTGAAAAACATTTCCCACACTCAGAACAGGAATACGGCTTCTCCCCCGTGTGAGATCTCTGATGTGTGTAAAGATTGGACTTGTCTGAAAAACATTTCCCACACTCAGAACAGGAATACGGCTTCTCCTCCATGTGAGATCTCTGATGTTTGTATAGACAGGACTTGTCTGAAAAACATTTCCCACACTCAGGACAGGAATACGGCTTCTCCCCCGTGTGAGATCTCTTGTCTGTAAAGATTGGACTCCTTAGAAAAAACATTTTCCCGCACTCAGGACAGGAATACGGCTTCTCTCTTCCTGTGTGAGATCTCTGATGTCTGTAAAGACTGGACTTTCACTGAAAAACATTTTCATCTACACTCAGGACAGGAATATTGCAATGTATGTGTGATGAACTTCATCTTCGCACTTCCAGTCTGGAGGAAAAGTGGCTTCTCCCCGTGTGAGATCTTTGATGTCTGTAAAGATGGACTAAAATGAAAAACATTTCCCAGGACTCAGACAGGAATACGGCTTCTCCCCTGAAATCTTTTATGCACATTAAGACCATGTTTAGAACGCAAACCCTTCCCGCACTCAGGACAGGAGAAGCTCCTCCTGTTGGAAGGCCGGCCCGGTCCCGCACAGTCTGAGGTTCCTCAGGATACGAGGAATCCGATGGTCCATCTACACTGGGTGGTGCCGGATGGACATTGGAGGGAGCCGGGTTTTCTCCTGGACTATACTGTGTGATGTCCTCATTTTCTACTTTCCAGTCTGGAGACAAAGTGAGACAATCCTCGGAGGTTTTCCTCATCTCCCGGCCATGGACTAAAATACAAAGACAAAGAGGATTACTAGACAGGAGCTGATTGGTTCCCCCAAACCAGGACTCTGCCCACATCAGGCAGCTTGGTCTCTGAGGAGCTTACAATTCCACCCTCAAGGGAACTAGGAAATGGCTCCTCTGATCTCCTACCAGGTCATTTCTTTATTCATGGACCTTAGTCAGAGAGTGAGGAAACAACCAGAACTGTCTTTTATAGGAGGGACAGTGATGAGGGGATTATAGGACGAGGGTCCCCACCCCCTCTATCACTCATCGCCATCTTACCAACACAAGAAGTACTGCACTTCCTTATTTAGTCCATGAAGTCCATGAAGAACAGTGGGGCTGAGCCCCACCAGAGGTCAGAGAGTGAGGATGGGGGAAACAACCAAGACGAAGACTGGAACTGATCCTGAAGACCACCATCATTGGGGTATTGACTCCTCCCTCAGGAGGAGCAGGAGGTCGTGGGAGGACCAGGAGAGGACGGTTTGGGTGATATTTGGAGACAAGATTGGTGATGTAACTTGGGACAGAGTTATAAATGGCTTTATATGTTATTAATGTTTTGACTTTTATTCGTTGGGCAATGTGAATCCACTGGAGGGATTGGCAGAGAGGGTGGAGGACACTGAATGGAAGCCAGTGGAGGGATTGGCAGAGAGGGGTGGAGGACACTGAATGGAGGCCAGTGGAGGGATTGGCAGAGAGGGGTGGAGAACACTGAATGGAGGCCAGTGGAGGGATTGGCAGAGAGGGATGGAGGACACTGAATGGAGGCCAGTGGAGGGATTGGCAGAGAGGGGTGGAGGACACTGGAATGGGGGCCAGTGGGGGAAGCATTGGAGGGATTGGCAGAGAGGGGTGCTGATACAGAACGGGATTAGTATAGGGGGATGGAGGAGTCTGGCAGCAGCATTCAGAGATAGATGAATGGTTAGGGGTGGATAGCCTGCGATGAGGTAGGGGGATAGCCAATGAGGAGGGAGTTACAATAGTCAAGTTTCTTATGAATTTCCTGTAAGTTGGCAAATCCAACAAATTGTATTTCCTTCACGTTTCCAGGTACAGGACAATCCACCACTGCCTTGATCTTCTCGGGATCCATGCTCACTCCTTCTGAAGAGATAATAAATCCCAAGACCTGGATCTGGGTTTGTTCAAACTCACATTTCTCCAGTTTGAAGTCGGTTCTTCCTTAATCTTTCGAATACAGTGCAGACACGCTTGAGATGGTCCTCCAAGTTATCGGAAAGGATGAGAATATCATCCAGATATACAATAACAAACTGGTCCAACAGATGTCAAAACACATCATTGATGAAGTGCTGAAAAGTCGCGGGAGCGTTGCATAGGCCAAAAGGAATAACTAGGGACTCGAAGTGCCCATATCTGGTTGTAAAGGTGGCTTTCCATTTGTCTCCTTGATGAATGTATACAAGGTTATATGCCCCCCGTAAGTCAGGTTTTGTAAAGACTTTGGCAGAGCGGAGTCTTTCCAGAATTTCAATGATTAATGGGAGTAACGGTTTTAATAGTGATTTATTCTAGTCCCTGAAATCGATGCATGGACGCAAAGTGCAATCCTTTTTCTCAACAAAGAACAGGGCTGCCCCTGCAGGAGATGTTGAGGGTCTGATAAAGCCCTTCTCAAATTCTCATCAAGCCACTCCCTGAGCACCTTTAATTCAGGTTCTGACAGATTGAAAAGGCGGCTGAATGGTATTTCTGACCCTGGAAGCAGTTCAATGGGACAATCGTAAGGGTGAGGAGGAGGTAATTGATCGTCATTCTTTTTATCATGGATATCTCGGAACTCATAGTATTGTGGAGGCAGGTTGTCATATGACTGGGTAGTTACATCAACTTGTGATTCCCTGATTGGTAGAAAACTTGTACAACATGGTTCCCTACAATGCTCCTTGCAATGAGGGGACATAAAATGTATAGTCCGTTCTCCCCAATTGGTGGAGGTGTTATGGGTAGAAAATCAAGGAATGCCCAAGATGACAGGAAATTTAGGGGATGTAATCAGCTGAGAGCTGATGGTCTCATAATGGTCAGCCTCAAATTAGAGTACCAGGGGAACCGTTTCATGGGAAACACCGGTCCTAAAGGTGAACCATCAACCGTCTCCATATCAATGGGGCAGATTTGTTTCTTGGGAGATTATTGTTGTTGTGGGCAAATTCTATGTCCATAAAGTTCCGCCCGACCCCAGAGTCCAGCATAGCAGAACATGGATTTCATGGCCCTCAGTGATAAGAATGATAGGGACAACAAAATGAGACTGCATAGAATCAACTTTTATGTCTTCATAAATCAATGGGGAGATAGACTGGTAATGGAGTTTATTTTTTGTTCAGGCACTATACTTGGGGATTTCAACATCCCTGTCAACATTGACAACCCGGCCACATCCCAACTCCTCCACTTAACCTCCTCCTTTGCACTTGCACAGTGCATACAATCCACCACACACTCCGACGGAAGTATCCTGGACCTTGTCTTCTCCAACCGCTGCGCTCCCCACAACCTCACTAACACCCCCTTCCCTCTCTCTGACCACAACCTTATCACCTTCTCTATCTCCTTGTCCTCTAACCCCTACCCCTCCAAATGTCATACTACCACCAGCCGTAACCTCCGCAACCTGAACCCTGCCCCCCTCCATTCTGCAGCTGATCAACTCCATGACAGCATCCTCCCCCTGTCCTGCCTTTTCCTGGCTATGACTGCCTATAACAACGCGCTGCTGTCAACAGCCCTTGACTCACTAGCACCTTTAACCACACGAAACATCAGACCCCGACCGCTCCAGCCCTGGCAGACTGACCACACAAAACTCTCAAATGACACAGTCGTGCCCTGGAGCGACTATGGCGCAAAACCAAATCCCAACAAGCCTTCACCCGCTACAAATCTGCCTTCCACACCTACACCTCCTCCCTCCACGCAGCCAAACAAGCCTACTTCCTGACCCTCATCAAGGCCCTCTCCTCCAATCCTCGCCGACTCTTCTCCACCTTCAACTCTCTACTCTCTCCACCCCCACCTCCACCCAGCACCTCACTCACCGCCCTTGAGATTGCCAATCACTTCAAAAACAAGATTGACACAATTCGCAAGGACATCGCCACAGCTCACACTCCCCCCTCTCCCAGTCCCCTCTCACACAGCACCCCCTCATCACCCCTCTCCCTCAACCCACTCACACAGCTAGAGACCCCTTGCTGCTCAAACTCCCTGCCTGACCTCCACCCCACCCAACATTCTCAAACTGAAGCCCCCTCAACACTCCACACCTTCGACCTTACTACCATCGAGGTCTCCAAGGTCTTCTCTGATGCCTGCCTCACCACCTGCCCCCTCGACCCTATCCCCTCACAACTCCTATGACCTCCCTCCCCCTCCATCCTACGCGCCCTCATCCACATGCTCTCCCTCTCCTCCGGCACTTTCCCCTCCCCTCTGAAACATGCACACATCACCCCCATACTTAAAAAGCCCTCCCTGGACCCCAATGACCCGAACAACCTCAGACCCATCTCCCTGCTCCATCTAAACAAGTAACAATCTCCTCCGGCACTTTCCCCTCCCCTCTGAAGCATGCGCACACATCACCCCCATACTTAAAAAGCCCTCCCTGGACCTCCCGATCCCCTACAGTCCCATGGCTTCCTCGAGCGCTCCACCCGCCTACACCTCAACGACAACAAAATCCCCTACTCCGCCTCCCCTACTCCAAAAACTCTCCAAACTCTCCAACGACTGCCAACCGCCAAAGCTAATGGCCACTATTCAGTGCTCCTACTCCTTGACCTTTCTGCGGCTTTCGACACAGTCGACCACCCCCTCCTCCTCAAAAAACTACACTCCCTCGGCCTCAGAGATTCTGCTCTCTCCTGGCTCTCATCCTACCTGTCACAACGCTCTTTCAGCGTTACCTATAATGCTACCACCTCCCCCTCACTCCCCCTCTCTGTTGGGGTCCCTCAAGGCTCTGTCCTCGGGCCCCTTCTCTTTTCCATCTACACCTCCTCCCTTGGCAAACTCATACACTCTCACGGCTTCAACTACCACCTCTATGCCGACGACACACAAATCTATCTCTCAACCCCCCACCTCACCCCCTCAGTCTCCGCCCGAATCACACACCTACTGAGCGACATATCAGACTGGATGTCGCTCCACTTCCTTAAACTGAACCTCTCCAAAACCGAGTTTCTTGTCTTCCCCCCAGCCCGGACACCACCCCCCCATTGACTTCTCCATCACGTCCAACAATGCCACCATCAAACCCACCCCGCAGGCCAGAGTACTTGGTGTCATTCTGGACTCCAACCTATCCTTCCAGCCCCAAGTCCAATCTTTAACAAACTCGTGCAGACTCCACCTCCGCAACATGCAGACTCCGCCTCCGCAAAATGCAGACTCCACCTCCGCAACATCGCCAAAATCCGCACGTTCCTAACCCCAGAAACCACTAAACAGCTCATCCACTCCCTCATCATATCACGACTCGATTACTGCAACTCCCTCCTCACTGGCCTGCCTCGCCACAGGCTATCCCCGCTTCAGTCCATCCTGAATATGGCTGCCAGACTCATTCACCTTTCCAACCGCTCTGTTTCCACCACCCCCCTCTGCCAATCCCTCCACTGGCTTCCGATTGCCCAACGGATCAAATTCAAAATCCTAACACTGACGTACAAAGCTGTCCACCATACTGCCCCGAACTACATCACTGACCTAATATCCAAGTACCGCCCAACACGCACACTCCGCTCCTCACAAGACCTCCTTCTCTCTAGTTCCCTGGTCTCCTCCTCCCATGCCCGCCTCCAGGACTTCTCCAGGGTGTCACCCATCCTCTGGAACTCCCTGCCCCAACCCATCAGATTATCACCTACTCTCCTCTCCTTTAGGCGCACCCTGAAAACCCATCTTTTCAGGGAAGCCAACCCCACCCCCTGCTAACTTGCCGACCTCCTCCACTCTTCCTACCACTCCATCCCCCACAGCTATCTCCTCCTGTGCCACCATCCCCTCCCTCCTAGATTGTAAGCTCGAAGGAGCAGGGCCCTCGATCCCCTCATGTTTTGCATTGTATTGGTATTGTTCTGTCACATGTTCTGTCCCCCATTGTAATGTACAGCGCTGAGCGAACTATTGGCGCTTTATAAATACTGTATAATAATAATAATATACATCAATCGCAGCAATTGTTCTTTTAACTTTGCTGTGACAATTAACTGTGTAATGTCCAGAGTCCCCACAATACAGACATAAGTTCTCCAAACATCTTCTCTTTCTTTTGAGTAGAAATGGATTACTTAATAGCATCTACCTGCATAGGTTGGATGTGTTAGAATCTGGAGAAACTTTTAGATCCTTCTGAATGAACTGATCAGTAGAGAAACGTATGTCACCATTACTTCCAAACATTCCCAGTCCCTCCTTCCTCCTTTCTGTAAGTCTCTGATCAATTCAGATGCATAATTGGATGAAAGCTTCCAGATCATTAGGAATCTCTACTCTGGTGAGCTCATCATTTACCTGTTCAGAGAGCCCTTGACAGAACTGATTCTTTTGTGCTGCTGAGTTCCAGGTGGTATCTGAGATCAATCATCAGAATTCAGCTGTGTACTCAGAAACAGAGCGTCTACCCTGCAGTAAACTATGCAGCTTTGCTTCAGCAGTAGCACAATGGTTGGGATCCTCAAAGTCCTGGTTCAATGCAGTCATGTTCTATATGGGGAGAGGCCCAAGCTAGGGCTTCCTCAGTCAGGAGGTTTATAACAAACAATACTTTCTATTTCTCAGAATTAAATGCAGCAGGTTGCATCTGGAAAAAAAATGTGGCATTGGTTAAGGAAACCTCTGTAATGGCGTCGGTCTCCATTGAACTTGACTGACAGAGGCATGCCTGTGTTAGCAACATCGCGGGAACATAAGTCCAGCAATCGTCTTTGCAGAGCATGGATTTCCTCCTGTTGCCCCTTTAACACACTTTCCAGAACATTTTTCTTGGTAGGTAACACCGAACTCTTGCAGTTCTGAAAGTTGGTGCCTGAAAGGAGCCACGTATTTGCTATAGCGGCCTCCATGTTTGGGTCAGATTTTCCTGTGCCGGTCAGAGGTCAGGCTCAGAGACCAGTAGTTATAGCAGAAGACCAACCAACAGGATAGGTATACAGGCAGGTCACCCTGACAGATGACGTGGGCTCACCTGAGGTGCGGGGTCTAAGCAGCACTAACCAGTATCACCAGAGCTCCAGATGGTGGGTATGGGTTTTGCTGCGTGTTAGTACCAGGTCACAGTAGTAGTACTCAATAAACAAGCCAAGGGTCAGTAACAAGTGGCTGCAGGTTGGGATGAAGCAGAATCATAGTCCAGAAACAAGACAAAGGTCAATAGCAAAGCTACAGATGGTAGCAGGAGAGACAAGGGCAAGATATTGGATGGAGAAGGCACAATAATCTGCCAACCAGGAAGTGCAAAGACATGGATTAAATCAGGAAGTTCATGGGAGGAGCAAAGAGTTCAAGGTTCAGCAGAAAACAAAGCAATGGATAAGCAGAGTGCCGTCCATTATATCAGGTAACTCAGTGAGAAGAGTTTCTACCAGACACAGTAGAGTTCCTGGGTTCAGGTCCAGGATCTGACAGGTGCCTAGGTTTAGCAGAGTCAATGAATTAATATTTAGCTGAACCCCAGAACCTCCATAAATCCAGTCTAGATACATAAATTGTGTCTGCAGCACAGAGAAGGAAGATTATCCGAGAGAAATCCAGGAATACAGGACGGGGAACACAGCTCAGGAAAGTGACCAGGGGATTACAGGCTGATATCACCCAGTCCCCGCCCTACTCTGGACCAATCAGTGAGCAGTATGGGTGGAGGAATGGATTTAGTGTTCATGACCCACCTGTGCTGATCTCTGTAGGAGTGTCCTCCTCTATAAATGTCCCCGTTATTCCATCCTCCTCCATAGACTGCTGATCATCCCTCACATACGCCTCTTCTTCTTCTGATTTAACCTCAACTTTTATATCTATTAAATCTTCACCCTAAAATAAGAGAAAATAATATCTGTAAAATATAAACTAACATGAAAAATGCACAAATTGTCTCCACAAGACCATGTTCTAGATGCTCCATCCCACCAACCTTGTAATAGTGAGGGATGGTGTGACCTTCCTGTGTGGAATCCAATACAGAGGATGGGGACATCTCTCTGGTGGGTTCCTGGTATTAGGTGGCTCCATCATATCCTTGTGCCCTTCTGAGGACTTCTGCATCACTCCATACTCCTCATCCTCCTCTATAAATTCTTCCTTAAGAACAATATTATCATCCCCGAGGATTCCACTCTGAAATAAATAAATTATTGTAACAAACAAACCTGTTTATAAAGCAGAACTTCAGTTGCAATCATCTACCTGATGATGGTGAGGAATGGTGTGACCTTCCTGTGTGGAATCCCAGGAATACAGAGGACGGGGACATCTCTCTGGTGGGTTCCTGTAGCTGGATGACTCCCCCATGGTGTCCTGGTACAGATCTTTGTGTTCTCTTAGAAGCTCTGACTCCTCAATCCCCCCATCCTCATCCTCCTCCTCTTTTATCTTGTCTTTAACCTCAACTTTAGGATCTCTCAGGTTTCCACTCTGAATATATAATAAAAATGACATCAATGGTAACAATGCAGATAATGTACAGATCCTAATGATACTATCAGTGATTGTTCCTCATCTACCTGATGATGGTGAGGGATGGTGTGACCTTCCTGTGTGGAATCCTGGGAATACAGAGGACGGGGACATCTCTCTGGTGGGTTCCTGGTATTAGGTGGCTCCATCATATCCTTGTGTCCTTCTGAAAACTCCTCCATCACTCCATACTCCTCATCCTCCTCTTTATACTCTTCTTTACCATCAATATTATCATCCCCGAGGATTCCACTCTGAAAGATATAATAAAACATTCATTGTAACAAACATGCTGTGTATAAATCACAACTACCAATAATTTTGGTTAATCTATATGTCCTATG